CCCCCCCACCTTAGCTCAAAGTCTGGATCTGCCACTGATTAAGCAGTTAAATATTAAATTTAACCAAAAAGAACTGAAAAATAATAACCCAGAGCACCAATACTTTGATGAGTAACTTAAGCCTTTGAGAGGTTAATATGTAATTGCATTATTACTACATTTTTATCACCTTTTTACTTTTACATTAAAATACTGACTGATTGAAGGCAAGCAAAGACCAATAACAGAGTGACTGCTGTCAGTAATATTATTGCTGGTAAAACAATGAACTGAAAAATTGAAAACAAACTGTAAAGAACATAGCCTGTCATCATCATCTGTCCTCATTATGCCATGGGACACATAACTTGGCCTTCACAGTCTCTCTCCAGCGTGAACGATTTTGTGCCACCTTCCAGATTTCACCCAGGTCAGGTGTATGGATTTAAGAGCCAATCATATTACAAAACAGTTTCTCAGTTTTGGTCTACCGTCAGTCATTTGTTGTTGGTCATCAGCAGGTTTACTAATGACAAATTTGAGGTATTTCAGGGGACCAAATTTTGTACCTATGGTGTGCCCATCTGGAGCACTTACATGTACAAGTAGTAAAAACATTTCACACCTTGCATTTAGCATCATACCACATTCCCCTCTGAAGGAACAGCACCCAAAATCAGCCTCCTGTTTTGCTATTTTGGCAATTCTTTCTTCCATGACTGTAAGTTTCTTCATGCACTAAGGGAACACCAGTTCACTCTTGTTGATGAATTTTGTAAAAATTTCAGAACATTTATTTAGCAATTATTATTTATAAGAGAAAAAGTGTGTACACTAAGCACCTACCAGAGATCCAGTAGGTGGTCATTTGTGAATCGTCACCTACAATGTTTGCAATTTTCAAAAAATGGCTGTCTAGACGAAATCGTACTAATTAATGTTCCTCTCTTTGCTGCCTGACAGGTGCTGCACCAGGGCAACCACCTACCACAAATCATACTGAAAGTGCTGATAGATTGTTCACTGTAGAACAAGGAAATAACATGTCCATCCAAAGGAATGTCATAGGAAATCTCAAGACGGATGGGAGTTTCAACAGAGGACAAACAAAACAAATTTTCAGGCCAGAAATTCCTTGCCCAGTGTCCCCAATTAGCCTACATGGGCTAAATACATTGACACTTAAATAAAGTTCCTACTTACTTACTTTTCACTTCAAGGGTTTTAATGGCAGAGCATCTCCCTGGACCCCTAATTGGCTCACACTTAGGCTTTCGTGTTTAAGCCCCCTACTCAAAATGTTGCTGTGCCTGAGACCTTCATGTAATAAATCCTTTATTGCCACGCTTATTCGATCAAGAAGGCTGGATATTGTTCTTGTTCTGTCTTTGGCTGTTTATAACCTTGCGTAATTGACCAATATCCAGCCATCTTGATCTCCAGCTCGGTCAATAACTTATATATAACATGTACATGACTATATAACGAACATTTCAAACCTACCGGTACAAATTTAGCTCCTACATGAACCAGGAAGGATGAATTTGGACCAATGAATACATTGACTCCAGTGTATCTAGAAATGTTTTGTTTATGCACTGAATCATTTCTTTCGTGTGATCCTATGTATCCAAATTTGTTAATCAACATGTGTTCCAACGTGGATTTGTAACCTATCTTCTCCACTCCACCTGCAATACAAATGTAGAGAAGAACTCCGACATGGGCAAGTGTCACAAGGCATATAAACAGTGGCCAATGAAATCTTCTTGGTGGTGATTCATCAATGCTAGCTTGGGTGTCGACAGTGAGGGATCGTGACTTGCGTCTGTCTGGTGGGATGACATAATTATCCCCACAGTAACTGTACACAGAGGTTTCTACAGAACCATCACTGCTTGGTGGTTGAGAATATTGCACATATCTATGGCCAGATGAATGACCTATAGGAAAATGAAGATTATCATAAGAATTAAAGAGTCCTTAAAAATAGGGTTATGAACAATAATTTCAAACTTGCTCATTGATAAATATATTGAGAAGCCTTTTCTTGCTCTAAATACTAGATTTGATTTTCAGCCTCAGATGAATGCTGGGCCGTATGTTATCTGAATGGACTAAGATTGAGGTCTGATTTCAAATCAGGCTAAGCTAGCAGCGGATGCAGAAGAGAGGCCCAGAAGACCTTCCCCTTTCTGGTTCAAATATACAAAACCCAAATGGGTCCAAAAACCGGCAGCAGGTATATAGTGAAACACAACAGTAATTTCAGAACACAAGAAAAAAATTGTTAGAAAACACAAGCCGCAGGTTCCAGCTACTTAGGAATGTTAAAAAAATTAAATTACTTAAGCTTATATCTTTCGAAAACGAAAGCACAGAGAATTAACGAAATGCCACAGGTTCAGTGCATTTTATTGAGTCTTTGATTACAGTATTACATGAGCTTACATAAAATTTTTACATGAAATTTCTTTAACTTGTTGGCCTAACTTTTATAAATGTTATCTTTGCTCGTTTTCCTAAAACTCCTACGCTTCCGGGATTTTTACGTTCATCTCGCAAGTCGCAATCACGGGACTATGAATCACTGCACGTCACGCAAACAAATAAAAAAGCGAAATATTTCTTTTATACTTCAAGGATATTTTAATGACCAATTCTCTTTTGTGGAATAGAATGAAAATAATTAAAAATCGTCTTTGTCCTAGACAATGACTTTTTCCTTATGTTGCAAAACAATGCGATCAGGTTTTTCAAACTTCATTTGAAGAATGGTGCGCTCGTCACTATTCAAAGTGTACTGGACGAATCTTTCTTGATTATACCTTTACGAAATACGTCATTTGGTCTTAGGTCACACAAAAAGACACTGAAAATGTGAAAAGTGACAATCACTTTGAAACACAAAAAGCTGTATTTTATAATATGCTTACTAACCAATTTTTGACGACAACATCAGACCCCACTAAAATTTGCTAAAAATGCTATACTTCAACCGTACGACGAAAACAGTACATTTTCTTCTTTTCATGTGTTACCTGAGTTTCTTCCTCCAAGAAGTGGTTCCCTCTCCATTTATCTAAGGTATACTTTTCCACTCTGCATACAAATCCTAGCCTTGGAGGAGTTCCTTGGACAATTTACGAACTCTCCAACAGAGAAGCTAAGCAATTTCAATTTCGATTTCAGCGCGTTTCAAGGAACTGGGGTCTTGTTTGTGTTCCAATGTACCAAGAAGATGAAAGTTAATCAGAAACGAGAAACATTATATTGAAAATTTTATAACCTGACTACCAATACGATGAGTAAGGGGGAACTTAATACAATGAATTATTGAATTAAAAAAATTATGGTACTTTTTATGTAGACTTAATGTATGTTAAGGTAGTTTTGCTCACAAAAAGACCCAACATGGAAATAAAATTCTTCCAATATGTTCAGAAGACCAAATGCCCACTTGGGAGGGGTGAGAGGGAGAATTAAATCGGTGTTCGGACTAGTTACACAAGATCAAATAAAGTTGAAAATACGATTATCAGCTAAAATTTTTAAAATTTGCAACTAATTATCTCTTATATGTTCTGCCACCGATTCGAAGCAGTGCTTTGAGTTTCTTTGCACAATATTAAAGATGGTTGCGAACGCTCCCCTACCCTTCCCTAAAGATAAACAATGGTCCCTCGGGTCCGGTCTTTCCGGGCCGGTGATCTGTTGTCTTGATAACAGCGTCTGTCTTGTCGGACGTGAGTGCGTGGCTATGGAGGAACTTTGTTTTTACGAACCTCGCTTCGTCTATTCACTCCTTTTAGCTCGGTAAACAGGAATAGAAATATATTGGGTAAGTTAACTTCCAGTTTTCAGGAAAGCTTCGTCGAACAAACTGGAGTTTTTGTAGGTTTTTCTTCTGTCGGCCAGTTACGTACTAAGTTTGCGCCACTTCTATACACAGCTTCACAGTGTATATTTTTTCAAATATTTTAGCTGTTATTGAGAGTTTTCCCAATGTTCTGAGCAGCATGAAGCTAATACATAATTCTACCCTGAATATTTTTGATTTTTTTTGTTAGTTTCTGTCAAGCAGTTCTCATTTCGCTTTTTTTAAAATTTAAACCTTGCGGTTACTGACCGCTACAGAAAATATAGACTAATTTAAGCTTAATAAAGTTACCTAGCTAATTAAGAGAAATAAATTAAGCTATTGTAAAGAAAGCTGAATCTTTCGCCTAGATGTTTTTTAATTTTGTGTCTAAACATAGTAAAGCTTTAAAGGTCGATGAAAAAGTCACCCAGAAGGAAGAAAAAATGTTATATTCTAAGGAAACATTGTCACCCCCAAAGAATCCCTCTTCATGCAGAGGTATACAACTTTCGTTGGGGGACCAAATTTTGTTTCCAAGAACCAAACAACTATTTTACAATGTATTGCACTTCTGCAGTAAATACTTTCTTGTTTGCAAAGGCCTTGAGGCTCAGTGCTATATGCTGGATTCCATGAAGCACTATAAATCACTGAAATATGACTTCTTACTTTATTTCAGGTTCAAATTAGTGAGGTTTCACAGCAACACTAGCCAAACAGTCTCATCATCACTTGTAATCCCAACTGCCACAAGGGAAGTAATGATTACAAGGGTTGTAATAGCTACTATTTTAGTCTGGAGTGGTTTTCCAAAGGTAATGCAAAATTTCCTTCTGTCACACTGATTATCTAAAGAGTTATTTAGAAGACTACCCAATTTGGGGAGGTGCTTTTAGAGAGTCATGCCCAACTTGGGTTCACAACTCTGCAGAATGCAAAAAATATTGTGTCCGAAAGGCCGGGGATGGTGGATTTTGTAGTTGGACCAGTAGTCTTTTCCTGTTGCTTGTCAATGGACCTGTGAGGTTTTCTGGGAAAATTTTTGCAGAAATATTTAAATAACTGTAGTGTGTAAGAGATGACTGATCTTGGCTACTTTACATAAAAGAACAACTCCACACAACCAAAGAGTCTGGGCAGGTTCAAACCCAGATTTCTTGATCTTGAGTTAGATTCACTGACCATTAGGCCACTCCACCTCAGACCCTGTTGTATGGACCTGAAAACAACATACCCAATCCTTGGTATTGCAGGGTGGTGACAACGCCTGTTTACCAAGCTCCTGTTTGAATGGTGGAACCTGTGTTGTTACAGCAAGTGGACAGCATTTATGTCACTGTATAGGAGGATACACTGGAAGTGACTGTTCAGTGAACATTGACGAATGTGCTGCACATCCTTGCCGCAACAATGGAACCTGCATTGACCAGGTACTGGAGCTTTACAGTCAAACCAAGTGAAGCGTACCCCTCAAGATTACATTAATGAATTGATTATTTGAATATTGAATCCACTAGTCGTTTCAAGAATGCAATAATGAGTTGATTATTAGAAAATTGGATCCACTAGTGGTTCCAAGAATATGGCTAATGGGTTTAATGTTCAAAAAAATCGATTTACTGTTGATTTTTGAAATGACTAGCTAGTTCAATATTCAAATGGTCAATTCATAATTGCATTCTTGAAACGACTAGCAGGTTCAATATTCAAATATTAATCAATTCATTAATGTAATTTTGAGGGGTATGCTTCACTTGGTTTGATTGTAACCTTATTAGAGGGTTGGTGAATGACTGACTGACAGCTAGAAAATCTTGGTTTTCGTAAACTTTTGATCTGATCTCAAATCTCAAAATCCTTGTGATGAGTCACAAAGTCTAATTTTGTACGTGTGTGTTTCTAATAATTAGAAACATACAATACATGATATACAAAATTAGACTTTGTGACTCATCACAAGGAGTTTGGGATTTTGACAGAATTATTCTGTCTCGCTTTGTAAAATCAGTTAAAAAAATTATCAGCCTCAGATTTCAAAACAAGGGTATCTACATCTTGGCTAGTATTCTCCTTTGCCATATGTCAGAAACACTACTTACATGTATCCTCAGTAAACAGCTACCACTCTTTATGCACTGACATAATTTTCTAGTGCTAGAGAGACAACTGCATTTTCAGGAGTCTCTTTAAGTGATGATGTGATTAGGTAGCTCTATAGATCTGTGTGATTAGCCTTTGCTCAGTTTAGAGGTACAGTCTTCATCAGTTTGGGATCTTTGGCATCTCGTGGTAGTGAGAAAATTGGAACCCACAGTGAGATATCTGTTTGCTCTGCAGAGTCATCATTTTACATAAATCTGTAGTAATTAAATGTCGTAAGTTGTTTATACCGCAAGTTGAATGATCTTTATGTAACTTGATGTATTGATTTTTAATTTTCAGATAAACTCCTTTCGCTGTGAATGTCACAGAGGATATACTGGAATCATCTGCGAGACAAATGTTGATGACTGTCAAGGTAACCCTTGCAAGAATGGAGCAACTTGTCAAGATCTTATCTCTGATTTCCACTGCCATTGCCAGGCAGGCTTTGTGGGAAAGTTCTGTGAGACTGATGTTGATGACTGTGCAGTTTTGCCTTGTCGTCACGGTAGCACTTGTACTGACAGAGTGGATGGATTCTCCTGTACTTGCAAACCAGGCTACACAGGAAGTTTGTGTGAAGTAAACTACAATGAATGTGGCAGCAGTCCATGTCAAAATGGAGGAATATGTGCTGATGGAGTGAATGCTTACCTTTGCATTTGTAAGTCTGGTTTCTCTGGAAAGGATTGTGAAGTGAACATTGATGACTGTATCCAAGCACCGTGCAAAAATGGAGGTAGGATTACCATGTAGCTTACTGTATTTTTTACTGGAATTAATTCCTTACATAAGAGAAGGCTTTTATAGTCAAACAGTTTGACTATAAAAACCTTCTCTTTTAAGAAACACCTTCCAGGCAAGAGGTACTTCACAAAATACCACCTAAGAACATAGTATTATTCTGAAGTGCCAAAAGTCATTGGTCAATTTTATGACCTCCACAATCCCCAAGGCAATGTTTGAAAATTGGGCCTACATTGTCCAGAGGGATCAATGTGGGGAAGGATTCGTGAAAACAAAGTCATTTGTGTTTAATTGTCTCCAAAGATTATACCTATCCCACCATGCAAATTTGCTGATGATAAATAAATGTGCCTGGTTGTGATCATACTCCAATAAATTTATTGTATCCTGTCCGCTAGATAACTTAACCATCTCTGCATTTTTTTAAGAGTGCATTTGTACATGTATCTGTTGAATATCAAATGTTAATTTTTTCCTTTGTTTTTTATCAGGAACCTGTCATGACCTTGTCAATGATTTCCATTGTGACTGTGCAGTGGGCTTCGAAGGTGCAACTTGTGAAGCAAATATTGATGACTGCTTGTCCACGCCATGTGATAATAATGCAACATGTGTTGACTTAGTCAATGGATTTTCCTGTACATGCTTACCAGGGTTTAGTGGACAAAAATGCGATGTTGATATCAATGAATGCAAAGACCACAAATGCATGCACAATTCAGCTTGTATTGACAGAGTAGGCTCGTACATGTGTGTCTGCAAGCCTGGTTTCACAGGGCAGTTCTGTGAAGTGGACATTGATGATTGCATTGCTCAGCCTTGCAAGAACCAAGGAGTGTGTGTAGATGCAGTTAACGACTTCAGATGTGTTTGCCGCACAGGGTTTACAGGAAAGGACTGTGCAGTTAACATTGATGACTGTGCAAATGACTCCTGCCGTCATAATGCAACATGTGTAGACCTGGTGAATGATTTCAAGTGCAGTTGTCCAAAAGGTTATACCGGTAAAGACTGTCATATAAATGTCAATGAGTGCGCACATCAGCCTTGTCTGAATGGAGGAACCTGCATTAATAGGGAAGATGGATTAGGGTTTGATTGCCTTTGCCGCAATGGATTCACAAATACAACTTGCTTAGTTAATGTAAATGACTGTTCACCTAATCCTTGCCATAGTGGAAAATGTATTGATTTAGTTGACAACTTCAAATGTGACTGTCCTGGGAACATTACAGGAAGAACCTGCACTGGTTCAGTAAATGTGTGTAACACATTCTCTTGTCGCAATGGAGGGACATGCATCTCCACTAACTCCTCATATCAATGCCTTTGCCCAGAAGGGATTACTGGTATTGACTGCGAAGTAGATATTGATTATTGCCAATCACACAGCTGTCAAAACAATGCCACTTGTTTAGATGGCATTAATAACTATACTTGTCTTTGCTTGAAGGGATATGCTGGTAGTAACTGTGAAACAGATGTTAATGAATGTCTTGATGATCCTTGCAACAATGGAGCAACTTGCATAGATTTAATTAATGACTTTAAATGCCTATGTGCCCCAGGATTCAAAGGACATACATGTTCTGTGGACATCAATGAGTGTTATTCTTTTCCTTGTTATCATGATGCTATTTGCAATGACTTGGTGAATGGTTTCAACTGCACTTGTAGGCCAGGTTTTACAGGGAAGAAGTGTGAGACAAACATTAACGAATGCAAGTCAAAGAGTTGTCTAAATGGTGGCTATTGTCTTGATGGCATCAGCAAGTATGAATGTCTGTGCGCTCCTGGGTTTGGTGGCAGCCACTGTGAAATCAACATTGATGACTGTGCACGGCGGCCTTGTAAAAACTCTGGCAATTGTACTGATTATGTGAATAACTACAAATGTACCTGCTCACCTGGTTATACTGGAAGACAGTGTGACATTGATATTGATGACTGTGTTGATCAACCATGCCGTCATAACGGCTCGTGCACTGACATTGTGAATGGTTACATATGTAACTGTCCTGTAGGCTACTCAGGTGTCCATTGTGAGACAGACATAGATGAGTGTCAACCACAGCCATGTGTCAATGGGACATGCTTGGATAAAGATGGTAGGTTTGAATGTGTCTGCCAAACTGGCTTCACTGGAAGTCTCTGTGAAATGAATATAGATGACTGTGCCAGTGTTCCTTGTCAAAATGGAGGCAGCTGTTTTGATATGGTGGATGACTTTCACTGTTTGTGTCCTCATGGATTCAAAGGGAGAACTTGTGGAGTGAACATTGATGATTGCTCTATGCAGCCATGTCAACATAATGGCAGCACATGTGTGGATGGCGTGAATACGTTTAGCTGTGTGTGTGCTGTAGGTTATACAGGTGTCAACTGTTCTGTTGAAGTTAATGAGTGTGCACCTTCACCTTGTCAGAATAATGGAACTTGCACGAACAAAATATCTGACTTCAAATGCTGGTGTCCATCAGGCTTCACAGGTGAGATTCATGCTTCACACTGAGTTACCTTCATCATTGCCACCATACCCCTCTGCAGACACAGTTGTTCCAGCTGAAATGAGTACTGGGCTAGAGGGGTGAGTGAGTTGGACTGGGAAAAGCCCCAAATAGAATACTTCAGTGAATGTTTACCCCTTGTATTTCAGAATAATCGCCAATAGAGCATTTTCTCAACTGGGGATAAAGTTGACCAATAAATTATGAGAAAATTATGTCAATAGGGTAAAATTAAGGCTAGGAAGAAAATATTTGGCTCTAAGTGTCATTTTGTACAGACCTTGCTGCACAGTCTTGACTCTTAATATTATTTCTCTCGATGTCCCCCTCATTATCAATGGGAAGGATGTTTATGGAGGCTCTTATTGGAAGTTAAATGTTACATGAATATAATCCTGCAAGAAATAGCATCAAATGTACTCTGAATGTGCTTATAATTCTACATTTTAACTTTGCTTAGGTCGCCATTGTGAGGTAAAGGAAATTAAGTGTGACTTGTCTCCATGCCAGCATGGTGGGACATGTACTGACAGCCCAGAGGGTATCCAATGCACCTGTTTAACAGGTTTTACCGGACAAACATGTAACGTTACAACAAACACATATGGATGCCATAATATGATTTGTTTAAATGGTGGGAGCTGTCACCATGTTGGAGATACAAGCGAGTGTATATGTCCTTATGGCTACCATGGTCACCACTGTGAAATTAAGAAGGACAGGTGTCAGTCATCTCCTTGTCGTAATGGAGGCACTTGTGTTGACAATGGTGCGCTCCTGTTCTGCAAATGCCCTGTAGGACACTTAGGAAAATACTGTGAAAAAGGTGAGTGAGAATTGGTGCATTGCTTTTCTCAAACTCATTAATAATCCATCAAAAGAAATCATGACCGTGACGGTGATCTTAAGTAGCATAGATTTTTACGATCGTATTTCTCCGTTTTCTCCTTAGTTTTGGTTTTGATTGAGAAGATATATCAAACACTCAAGACAGTGTTTGGCCACATTTCCAAACACCTCGAAGTTCATCAAAAATACTCCGCTGCGCGTCCAATTTTCAACTCTCTTCTCGGTGCTTGGAAATGTGGTCAAACACGGTCTTACGTGTTTGATATATTACATCTAGATTAAAAGATAACTAGTTAGAAAACACTGTCCAGTCTAAGCCAGATACTTATTGTCATCAAGATCCATCTGCACTGTAATGTAGCTGAGCACGGGTGTGGTTATGTTACTTGTTGTTCAAATGCTGACTACCATGCTGACATTAAGCCCAATTACATTTTCAAATTACAACCTTGGAACTATGCATATTTGGCCATGCAATCCATATATCCTAGTTTGGTCCACCGATATTTGTTTTACTTATTGCTGTATATTTTCTTTAGGCAACTGATAGTCACATTACGACCTTACTATATGCAAAGTGGAATAAGAACTTTGTATAAAGTTTGACTTAAGATGTGTTACAAGTTGTTTTACTCAGGAAAGAAAAATTATACGGGGTTCAAACCTATGCCCATTATTCCCAGTCAGTGAAAGCAAAGTGGATCCCAATTCTGCTTGATCATACACTGACATTGTAAAGACAAGTTAATAATTGGTTCAATCTGTCCGTAGCTTTTGACCACTGCATAGTTCGAGTGGCTGATAGCAACCTAACATTTCCATCCAATATCTGTGGGCCACACGGAGCATGCGTAAGTCGCCAAACTGGTTTCTTGTGCGCGTGTCATCCGGGATACTCAGGACTTCTCTGTCGGTACGGTAAGTACGTTATGTCAGTTTTGCTGTTATACTGGGGCACACGAGATGGTTTCGATGTCATTTTAGACTGGATTAAACAACGATACGAGTCCGATAGAGTCGAGGGATGCGAGGTGGACGAGCTTTTTCTTCAATCGACAAAAAATTCTCTGTTTTCTTTCTCGAAACTTTGAACAGATTCGGATTAATTGAGAATGTATGAGGTTTGGCGCGCGACAAAAGCGAGAGAAAACTCTCGGTTAACTCTCGCTGACGCCCATTAAACAGACCTGCGTAAAAACAATCAGCTTTATAAGCAGTTTTATTTCAAACACCCACAGTACCTTATTTGTTGTTGTTTGTAGAAATTAACGAGTGTTTGTCGAATCCTTGCGAGGAAGGCACGAACTGTATTGATGGAATTAACACGTTCACTTGTGAACCTCTCTCCGGTGACACTGAAATGCAGCTCAAGGGTAAGATCGCAACATTGATTAATCATCATTTATTTAATCAATTAATCAATTAATTAATACCGAAGTATGTTTACAAGTTGGTTTTCTGCCATAGTTTCTAGAGCAGTGTGTTAGTCTTATGGCCCCGATGAATAGTCTCCATAGCTTTATGTAAACACCCATCTGAGTCTCTCTATGCGCCCTCACTTCAAAGACGTGTGAGATTCCAGCAGAAAAAAAATCAATACTGATGCCGTTCTTCAGTGATCCTTGTAGAGTTTGCGAGTGGATGTAATCCACAATTCAGCAACAAACGTTTTTTAGGTAAACCGTACAGTTAAAACTACTGTTCTTTAGTGTCCCTTTAATCTTTAAGGTCCGGTCATATGGGCAACGTTTTTCTTCAACTTGTCTCGCAACATTGTTGCATTGCAAGTTGAAACACTCTGTTGCGCGTATTACCACGTTTGTGACCAACCTGTCTCGTAGCAAAATACAGTGTTGCAAGTCTGCGAATTCTGCACGTTTCATTACTGAGTCAGTCGTGTGCAAATAAAGATGGCGCCTCCTTTCATACAATTTAGCGTTTCGACGAGCTTCCACTTCGATTTCTGGCCGTGACTTTCGTCTTAATTTTCCGCGAAGTTCTCCCAGTATGAAGCTCAGTGTCATTTCAGAACAAAATAAAGTTTTGTTGTTGTTGTTGTTGTAAAAGATAGCCAGGCGAAAAGTTGTATTTCTGCAACAGTTCTTCCAAGCTTTTTGCCTTTATTACCGCTTGTTTTGAAGGGACAAACGAGGTCCCCAAAGACTATGATAGTCCTCGAGGTCTTTGTACAGGGCAAATTTATTACTTTCCGAGAGCTACTAGTCTACTTCGAATTCAAGCTTGGCCATGTTATTTTTTTCTTTTTTTTTGCGTTGCCGGGCTTCGCGACAGCCAGTCGCGAGCGTCGAATTCAAATTTGTTGCGAGACAAGTTGTAGCTTCAGTGGTAATACGAGCAGCAAAACTAAAATTTGTTGCAGAAAGTAGAACTCGAGTCTACTTTGCGCAACATGTTGCCTCAACTTGCAACACTGTATGTTGCTGCGAGACAAGTTGGTCACAAACGTGGTAATACGCGCAACAAAGTGTTTCAACTTGCAATGCAACAATGTTGCGAGACAAGTTGAAGAAAAATGTAGACCGTATTACCGGACCTTTAATCTTTCTTTATACACGGTGAAAATTCATCAAGACAATGAATGTGCTAAGTTTGAACACTAATTTCTCATCTCACATATTCAGGTTCGTCCACTAAACGTTCGTATGTTGTACCGGTTGTGGTGGCAATAGCTGTGTTCGCCGTATTTACTGCAATCGGAGTGTTTGTCTATAAAACGAGACTCCAGAGGCAAAGGAATGGGCGGATGAAGCTCACAGAGCATCATGCTGACACGCTACCCCAACCCTACCACGAGCAAAAAACCTTTGAGAACCCCATATACCAGGTAAGCGGACTCCTCACTAAGCATGGGCAACATTGCCACCCCTCCCTATCCCCCACCTATGCGGGGCCACTCAGTCGTCCATCTCTGGTTACCAAGTTCGGTCCCAGACTCACACAATTAGACGACTTTCAACAGATCAAAATTCAGCATGACAGCGAGGCTTAGAGGAGACAAACAAAATCATACAACAAAAAACTATCCCCTCTGTTAACTATGGTTTGCCTAATTATACTATTAGTAGTTTTCAGTTAGGCATACATACACTGCCAATTTCACAAACCTCAAAGGAACTAGTAGTAATAGTGACTGATACAAAAATAATAACATCTTTTTTCCTTTAAATGTTTCTCTAGCCTTGTGACGAAGTAATTGCTGTGGAATGCCGTGACGAACTCGACGCACTAAAAGCTCTGAGAACACAGATCGACCAAGAGCTTCTTGACCTCTCCTTCTTAAGCGAAGGAGAAAGTCTGGGGCAAAGAGAACTCAGGAAAAGCACTTCGGCCCCAGATCTCCGCAACTTGCAAGTCACCGTCACGGATATGGAAAGTAGCAGCGTGTGCTCTGTGGATGACCTATCCCAGGGATCCGCGGGAGCAGTGCGGTTTTTGGGAACAAGCTCAAGTAGCAGTGGGAATGCCAATGGTTTTGTTGCCGTGGACGTAAAGCGCTCAAAAGAATGGCTTGATACTTACCTTTAAAGCGTAAGAAAAAACGGAACTACCTCGGATACAGTCGTAGCCAACTTGAAACTCTCAGTTTTCATGAAAGGGGTTGCCAGGCAGTAGGTCTTGGGCTTTTGAGCCAAACCTAACGTAACCACTTTCGTAGGGCCTGCAAGTTCTCTCGATGTTTTCTTATTGGAAGAGAGAAATCGAGAATTCTTCGGTTATTTGCCAGACTGTACAGGTACAAAGCTTTTTTGTGTTGGTGTCAAAATTTCTTGCTTGCGTTAGGTTTGATTTCTGACCAAAGTGAGCTTCTCTCCTGGAAGAACGAATGAACAGTTCACTCGAAATAGCGACAGTAATCCAAGCTACAATTGGTAGGCTTATTTCTTTCCCAGTGGAAATGGTGACTGAAACTGCATGCTGGAGAAAGAAGAGAAGAATACGAGTTCGAAAGCCCCGAGCTGCCAGGACAATATCGTTTTAATTCATAGCCTTGGTTTTTTTTACGTACTGACTCGTTTCAATTTCCTTCTTTACCATTCCGTCTCGAGTATCGACTTCTAAAAGAGGAATTAGGTTTCATTACATGTACAGTTATTACATAGATGGTTGTCTTCAACACGTCTATCAACAGAAACAAGCTTCCTTAGAGGATATGTTATACGGGTAACATTTTCCTTGTCGCCCAACAATATTGCCTTGTAAGATGACAAGCGTTTATTTATGAAGAAGTTTCTAGTATACGTACACGAGTCGTACATTAAGTTATGAGTAGAATATTTAATAGGATTTGTCCGTAAGTGAAATAATGAATCGAGTTCATTATAAAAACAGGATAGTTTATGCTGGACTAAGTTTGTTAAAAAAATTGTTTTCTAATATTACAAATTATTTATCAATTATCCTCAAAACCACAAGATGAACATTAAATTCAGATTGAGAAATGTGAAGAAAGAAATATGAGAGATTGAAATTTGTGTTAAGTGACAAAGGTCAAATATCTATGTTTAAATGTTGACGGAAAGACTCGAAAACCTTTGAACTGTCACTTGTATTTTTCTTGTTTGTGTGAAGAAAATGCTAAATGCATGTAACGAAAATAAACTTGAGTTGCTGAACACCAGAGTGTTGGGTCACCTTTGTATTATGTTACACTAAATTCAGTATCGTATTAGTTTTCTTCAGCTCAATGCTTAGTTCCAAAAGGCAAAATCTTGCCTGTCCTCTATTTTCCCCTTTGTAATTAATAACTGAGTTTTCTGCCTCGTGTAGGATGAGATCAAAGGAAAAGAGGGCGATTAGTCGCAGTGAATTGTTATGTAAGAGTGTTTTTTTTTTTTTTTAAATTAAAAAAAGAATAACTAAAACACAAGTCGCGGAGAGAAATATATATCTATGGGTTATGACCAAGGCTAGGTTCCTCGGTCAAGATAGCTGGATACTGGCCAAGTTCTTCTTTGCATGTTTATGGATCAAGACCTAGGGCGTTGCTTGCCATCCATCCCTGAGGAGGGGCAGGTACGGGTACTCGCTTATATGGGCTGTTATGTCGTTGTCCCGTTAAGCTTTCTACGTAGTAATCAGCCTTGCTTCATAGCTTGCTAGAAGGCCTACTAAGATCGTATATTCAAATACTGAAAACTTGTGCATCCAAAATATATAGCATGCAATCTGCATGGCTAGAGTGTGTTGCTGTTACAGCAGTATTTCGCTATCGTTTCCTTTCTTTCCATTTGTCTTTCCTTTATTTATTTACTTTTCAATATTTTCCTGTAAACTGGGTACTAATGCACCAGGAGATCTGGGAACTAACAAAACACCAAGATGGATTCCTTGTGAAGACTGTGGACCTTGTAGGAAGCAAAACTGTGTCTTTTATCCTGATTGCGAAGGATCTATTCCCTGCAAGATATACAGAGGGTAAAGGTGTCATTTAAGAATGAGCGAAGACATGGGTTTGGACTCTTCAAAACCAAACGAAACAGAAATTCAGGGGCGAGAACTGTCTCTTTGCACATCAACTTATCGGTCATTTCATCTGGAAGGCGAGGAGATTCCTCCTCCGTTTACTGTTCTCAAGGAACTAAAACACTCGGGACCTTTAGGACTCGATCAGGTCATGAAGGTGACGGCATGTGCTTTTCCACCGAACGACGATACAAGCTTGTTAACGTTGACCACCTTTGCAGGTCTCCCTCTGCGACATTTTCGAGCAGGATTTGTTCAGTGTTGGGACTTTGAGAACAACGAAGAAAGTCACGATGACAGCCTGTTCACGTATTCACCACGTCCCGTGTGCTGTTTTTCTCCAAACGGCGAGATCGTATCATTTATTTTAAACACGGGGAACGGCCATATCATTCTGGCGGAGCGAACAGATGACTGCACCCTTGAGCCTTTTAAAATAGACTGTGACACTGGTGGGTATGGGGACAGAAGCCTTCTGTCGAGAGCTTTATGTTGTGTGTTTTCTCCTGATGGCCTAAAAGCCGTCACTGTGAGTAATGTTACTCTGGAATCTCACAGAGGTATTGAAACGAATGAAATTTGCTTGTGGCAAGTGAAATCCAAAACAAGGCTGAAGAGCTTTTGGAGGGTAAGCTGTGAAGTAGTTTTGCCTGGATTTGCTGGGCATCTGGTGAGCTGCGTGTTCTCGCCAGATAGCTCTCTTCTTGCATTCTCCAGTTCGCTGAGTCAGCTGTACGTTTTGAAGAGTGAGAATTTGGAGTTGCTCTCTGCCATAAGGACAGATGCTACAGCAGGTAATAGTTGCAGCTGTGCATTTGAACCAAGTTTTCCATGCCAGAAGCTTGCAGCCTGCTTTGAAGATGGTCTGTTTGAAATCTGGTATCTTCAAGCTGACGAAGTTAAGCGTGTAAAAGAAGCACAGCTTGTGACAGGTGCAACTCGTTTGACTGCATTCTCATACAGCCCAGATGGTTCTCTGCTGGCCTTTGGCACTTCACAAGGAAAAGTTATAATAATTGACACAGAATTCTTGCACACTCTCTATGAGATAAATGCAACTGTTACCGGTGAACAAGAGGCTCCTAATGAATCAAGTGCCACAGTTGCAGTCTGTTCTGTCGCTTTTACAAAGAGCTGTCAAGAACTAGCTGTTGGACAAAGTGATGGTTTTGTTCGGATCTTGCAGCTTCCTTTGAAGTTTGAACTGCGGCATATGTGCCGACTGGTGATCAACAGGTTGGTTCCACCGAACCAACTAGAGTGTCTTCCTTTGCCTAGGAACTTAAAGGCTTACTTATTGTACTCTTACGTTACTGTAAATGAGATGGTCAGTTAGTGCTCTTAAAAGAAATGGGTCATGATATTTTACATAATTTAATGGATGTTTTCACTGGTTTTAACCGATGTTACACAATATCAATTTTTTTGTATTTTTCTCATAAATAAAAATAGGGAACAAGGTTGGTATGCACCTTGAAAATCCTTTTGAAAATGAAGGATAAAATTCCAGACCTTGAAAGTCCTTTGAGAAAATTTAATAATTAAACCTGCCATCACTTATCCCACATTTAAACTACAAAAGTTGCTAATACCCAACATTTTTCCATGTTTGGATTCAAGAAACTTTTCCCTGGAGAATTGGAAAAAAAATTTCCTCAGGGCCATGCCCCAAACCCAGCTAGTGGCTCACACCTTCTGTTCAGCGCTCTAAACTTTCCCTTCATGTGACTCACTCCATGAAAGATGCATGCTACATTAGGGTTAGGGTTCATTCATCACCCCAGTGTCCATATCCCTCTCATGGAAGATGTTTTGATTGGACTCCCCAC